GTGCTGAGGACACCTTGTGGCTGCTAGAATTAAGTTCACAATTATTGTTTTTAAACTATGACTCCAATTTCTCTGCTTTTAAAGGTTGTGGTGATATACAGTATCTACTCATTCGCTCTATCTAGGAGATAGATGGGTGACTCTCTCAGTTGCACTTTCTCTGCTATTCAGTGGTTTTAAATCTCAACTTTTTTTCTACCAAATTTCTGGAAAAAATATAGAACATTGTTCCAAAAGCTTCTTCCCGCATCCAGTTTTTTAAAATATCAAATATTTTTGTCACATTTATGAAATTTGAGTTTTTGGAAAGTGCTTATCATGCTGCCAAGGAATTCTGGGAGTTGCGTTCTCATAAAGCAAGTTTTCCAAGCTCTTGACAACACAAATATAGGATGACCAAAAGGAAAAAGCCTTTGTGGAACCAATTTCTCCCGTATTTCCTTGTAATATGTTGTTCAGTTGTCTGTAATTGTATGTCAGGTGTCCTCTCCATGTTTCCCAATATATATTGGGAACAGAAGTTTGCAGATCTGTGGGTTTTTTTGGCTGTCAATTCCAGAATTCCCCAGACAGCCCTACTGCCTGAGGAATTCAGGGAGTTTAGTCCAAAACCGTAAACCTGCACACCTCTAGTTGAGAAAATATTCAATGCTAAGAGCATCACAGACAGACAATAAGAAATGCTGCATAGAGGAATATGACTTAAGAAAGCTTTTTCAGCATTAAGTCTCTGTCTTCTGAGTAGGAAATAGGAATGTCAACCACACAAGTTCTTTACGGCATTTACTGGATGCCTCTTTTTCTTATCAAAAACACAGAAATGATGTGCATAGGAATAGGGGAGAAAATTTGTTTTTTTCAAGGAACCTTAGTTCCTTTTGATTATGGCAAATGATTACATGTCTTTTAATTTTTAAACAAATGGCTGTGCTTAGACAAATTCACACCGGATGTATTTATTAATAACTTGCAATTAGAAGTAGAATGTCCAGAGTAGGAAATGTCTGAACAGCAAGTGCCACTATCAGTCGACAGAAAATGCTATTACTGTCAAGCACTGCTCAGGTGTAACCACTAGCTAAGCTAAGAATTAGATGAAATTTTAATCTCCACCAATGTTGTTCCTTCAGAATGGAATGCCGAAACAACTGAATATGCAAAGGAAGCCTGTGTTTACCTCCCAACGGCCAATCACCAAACCATGCTAATCTGAAAAATGTAGAGTTAAAAAAGTTTGTGCCAGCTCACATATGTCTTTGATGATGCCAAAGAAAATTATCATTGCCTATATTTTTTTCCTTCGATTTTCCACTCACCTCATTGCCAACTTTCTACAAACACAAATATGTACCTGCCAACTTAAAGTAAGTTCCCACACATTTGATGCATGCTTTACCTGCTCCACAAAACTCCATGCTAGTATTTATATATTATTATTATTTCAGATGCCTTGACATGTTTTCTCTGTTCAAAATGCTGCAGCCAGACATTTGACCAGGTCCACGTAAAAGACAGTATGTGATCCCTTACTATGGCAACTTCACTATCTACTTGTCTGTTTCTGGGCACAATCCAAAGTTTTAGTTATGATCTATAAAGACTAGAGATGGGAGTATTCGTATTTGTATAAGAACATGAATACCCCTACACAGCTGGACATAATGAGGGTCCAGCCCCTTGGAGCCGGACTGTCCACTCATGTGTCTGCTGCTGCCATCGGCTCTGCTTGCCTTCCAATTGCTCTGGAGCTTGCGGTCGACTAGCCACTCCTGGCAGAAGGAGGGAAGACGAGCTTCCCTGCCAGGCTGACAAGTGGCTAGTCAACCGCAAACTCCGGAGCAATTGGAAGGAGAGTGGAGCCGATGGCAGGAGGCCAGACCCTCATTACGTCCAACTGTGCGGGGGTATTCGTATATGAATAATACCACCCCCATCTCTAATAAAAATGTACTGACCTTGGAAGGGTGGCAGGTTGAGTGAACCTTGAACCAGCAACTTGGGATTGAACCTGCGTCCTAGATCACAATTGGGCTGCAATTGGTCACAAACACTAATAGGTTGATCCAAGCATCTAAACAGCTAGGATCAGAATAATTTCTAAGAACATCTGATTGCTAACTGCTGGATATCTCGCTGCTTTAGGCATCTAGCTGCAGAACTAAAGGTTTGGAAGTTCAATTCCTTTCTGTGCCTCCTTGACTGGGGCTGGACTCGATGGTTCATAGGGTCACTTCCAGGTCTGCAGTTCTAAGATTACTAATGTGCTCCTAAAGCAAACATGAATCTTTGACTTGTTCAGCGTGCTGTATCTGTTATTTTTTGTTAATCCAGTCATTGTTAGTATTCCATACTACAATTCCTCAGTAACTCCTGCTTCATCCTGTGATATAGTTTCATCAATCAACACCTTACAAAACCTTAGAAAGGACAGCTGAGTAATGAACAGATAATGAAGTCAATGATAATGAAGTACTGAATAACAAACATCTTCATGCCCAGACTGTGAAAAGAATGAGATTTTTTTTTCACTTCATGGCAACAAATCCTTTTGAGTTGTGTTTTTGGGTTGTTGTTTTTAACTGGCAAGCATTTGCAGCAAAACATTTGCTTTGAATGTTTATTGGAGCAGAATTACCTTTTCATTACTCTCCCAAACGCCCAGCCACTGTCCTTCAAAGAAGCAGCAGCAGCAGCCCATAAAATGTCACAGCAATCAAGATGTGTCTCGAAACGCCAAGCCATTGTCCTTCAAAGCAGCAGCAACAACAACAACCCGTAAAATGTCACAGCAATCAAGATGTGTCTCCTCTCTGTGGAGACTGCAGTGTTGCACTAAAGACCCCGGGATTGCTAGATCAGTGCTGTATTCAAGGTGCATAGATAAATATTGCCCAAGCACATCAAGTAGTGCTAACACAACTCCTATAGGAGTGCAGTTGATCACCTGGGGCCACACTTATCATAAAGCAAGGTGAGGCGGCCACCTCTAGGAGCAGATTCTGGGTATCATGGCTAGCTATTTACTTTGCTGCTGCTGCTGTTCTTTTACAGATTTTGAAAGAGGTCCTTGTAGGATCTTCTAACATGTATGCAAAGCAAAAGCAAAGTGTGCTGCTTATATACTGCCCCATAGTGCTAAAGGCACTCTCTAGGTGGTTTACAATTTGGTTACATAGGCTACACAAGCTAGGTACTCAGTTTACCCACCTTGGAAGAATGGAAGGCTGAATCAACCTCAAGCCAGCAATCTGAGCCGAAGAACCAACTCAGGTCATCAGCAGAGTCTGGACTGCAGTACTGCAGCATAGCCATTTTGCCACAATGCTTCTATGCTAGAATAACTTGTCTGGCTTTGGGTACTATACATATTGATTTGGATGGGGCAGTAGCATGATTTGATTCTCCCTCTAAGACAGAAAAATTTCCTAAGTAATCCCTGAACGGTATTCATCGCACTATGCTTCAAGTGGTCCATTTGTCTCTTCATAAGCATTCAGACATTTATCTATTCTTTTTCTACTTCGTTATTTCATAAATAATGTCAACAATAAAGAAACTGAAATAATTAAAGATCTCGTACACCTTGGTTCAACCATTAATCTAAATGGGGACTGCAGCCAAGAAATCTGAAGACTGAGACTCAGAAGGGCAGAAATGAAGAAACTTGAAAAGATAATAAAGTGTAAGGATGTGTCACAGGAGACCAAGGCCAAGATCATCTCACAGTTTTGTATGGGTGTGAAAGCTGGAGAGTAAAGAAAGGTAACAGGGAAATAACTGATTTAATGTAAATGTGGTGCTGCAATACCCTGGACCACCAGAAATATGAACAAATGGTTTTCAGAGCAAATCAAACCTGACCTATGTCTGGAGGCAAAAATTGCGAAATTGAGGCTGTCCTACTTTGGGTATATAATGATAAGAAAGGATTCTCTGGAAAAGACAATAATGCTAGGAAATGTTGAAGGCAGCAGGAAGAGTGGGAGACCAAATGTAAGATGGATTGACTCCCTAAAGCAGTGGTCCTCAACCTTGGGCCTCCAGATGTTCTTGAACTACAACTCCCAGAAGCCCTCACCACCACCTCTGCTGGCCAGGATTTCTGGGAGTTGAAGTTCAAGAACATATGGAGGCCCAAGGTTGAGGACCACTTCCCTAAAGGAACTACAGGCTAGCATTTGCAAGAGCTGAGCAGGGGTGTTGAAGACAGGACATTTTGTAGATTGTTCATTCCTATGGTTGCTTGCTATACGTTAGAGGTGACTTGATGGCACCTAACAACAACAAATTTCATAAATACAACTGCTACTACTTGCCCCATCGCTAGTTCGATACTGGAGAAGAATATGTATTTTGGACTGGCAAGCCTTCCCTCCCAACTGGGCACCCTCTAGAAGTTCCAGAGTCTAACTTGAGTAATTTCCAAAGTGGCTGGGGGTTGGAATTTGGAGTCACAGTCCAACATGTCCAGAGGCCACGAGGCTAAGTAAGGCAGAGCCCCTACGAGAACACTTGTAGTTGAGCCCATATATTAAAAATATATTTATCTTCAGCAGCAAAGCAGTGAAAATTCAAGAGGCATGTTCTTTTCTTTTCATGCTTTGCTCTGGAGACCGGAATGAATATGAAACATGATGTTAATTGTATATCAGCAATTAATACACAGTTGTTGTTTATAAATTGCACTAGGACAGGAGCAGGACTGAGTGTAAGCAAGGTTTTAATTTAACTCATCCAGCCATGCTATAGTTGTTTTAATGGAAATTATCCCCAGGTAGCTTTCAGTTCTGTTGTTGCTCTAAGTCATTTGATTCTTAAGGAATAAGGCAGAACAATTCTGACCTGTGACATAAGAAGACTAAAAGGCGGTGTAAGCAGTGAGGAAAGAATCATACTAAGGTAATGTACCTGAGTCAGACAAAGGAGGGACCCAGGTTCCCAATTTACGTCTTACTGCCATGCTTCTCTAAGTGCACACAAACACGCACAAAAAGCCCAGATCAGTGGAAGGAACAATAACTTTATAGATGGAATGGAAAGCCACTTCACAAAATAAACCCTCTGTGATTGGATTGAGTATTTCCATCCCAGGATCCAGTGCTTCCTGTTTCACTCCCAGAAGAACTTCCAGGTCAACATGCTAGTTGGAATCATCTCTTGTAAAGATACTGCCAAACGGAAGCTGACGCAGCATCTGCTTCCACCGCAGGTTCTCAGGTGAGGTCTCTTTCCCTAGCAGCCACCACTGATCCTTTTAGAAGGAATAAGGGAAGTCAGTGGTTCACTGGGCCCTCTCTCCCAAACCACCAGGAATAGTTCTGGATTGTCCAGTGCAAGAAGGGTGTGCTTTCCTCTTAACAGCGAGAATCCAATTCCGTCAACATCAGGACTCCAGTTCCAATGGGAGGAAAGGATTGATGGCTTGAGCACATTCTCTGGGGCAAATCATCATCTGGACAGACTAGTTGGTGGAGCCTCTGAAAGACAAAGCAGATAGGAAGAAGGGATTCTGGTAAGGCTTAGAAGATTCTGTTTGCATAATAGGAGGGATGCAAGTAGGAAACATTGGGAAATGACCATTGAGACCAACAGTTGAAGAAGAGAGATTAGAGGACCAGGGGACAGGGGAAGATAACTTTGTTTGTGGATTACAATATACTTCTCTGCCCTACATTATTCTTCTAAGCCTTAAAGAACAGAATGATCTTGGTGGATTTACAATGTTCTCTGGAACATCATTAACCCTACGGGTTTTCTTATTGGATCATTTCACAGTTTAAGAGTTCAAATTTTGGTTTATTTGGATTTTTTTGTGTTCACACATACACTGTGGACAATAAATGTATTATGCTTTATTTTGCTCTGTCTGCAAATATTTAGTTTTATTAATTTAAATGATTATATATTAAAAGAGTTTGTGTTGAAGAATTGATTTAAAAGAAAATTGATCCTAGCCTGATTTGGATGAGGAACTGAGAACATCACTTCTTTGGGATTCAACCCAATGAAGGTAGGTTCAGATTAGGGAGTGGTGGCCCAGTTCTATTCCATGGTGTATATAATTCCATGGAGTGTGTTGATTGGTGTCAGATGACTTGTTAGGGCAAATGTCTCTTTCGTCCTCTTGGTTAGCCCTCCAGACTTGCAGATTTTTCAGTCCTACATGCCTGAGACACCAGACATGCAAAGAAAGGTATGCTATTTCTCAAATAACCCAGTATAAACAAAAGCCATCTAATTTGACATCAAACTGTGTTAGAATAAACAGTTTTTACCTCTCAAAGGAACACTTTTTAAAACACAGGAGCAATGTCCCATCTAGTGAAGCTCTGAACTTCTTTCAAACCAAGCATTCTTTCACTGAAACAAAATATTCTGCTTATGAATTCTACTATGTGGTGCATGGATAGTTTGATGGGTTTACTTGCCCTCTACCTGTGCATCCTTGGGAGAGCAGCACAGTCCAAGAGCACCACCAGAAGAGGGGGATTGGCAAATCTCTTCTGAGAGTGTTTGATATCTAGAAAACCTTGGGAAGGTTATCATAAGCCAGATTCAGTTTGATGCTCCATAATTCTCATTGTTGGAAACGCTCAGTGAACCAAAAATGTACCTGGGGTACCAGTAAGGGAGGCAATGGCATACTATCTCTCCCAGCCCATGTTTCAGACCACATGTGCCTTCTTCTCAGCAGCACATGCATGTTTGTTTAACTGAAATATTTGAAAAAGGAATGACAACAACAAATCTTAAAACACACTGATGTACAGCAAACTACAGCAAGACCACTGAAGATTGATACTCTTGGAGAAGCTTGAAATGATCTCCCTAAATGCTATGAAGGAGCAACTCGGAGTTAGTTATTATGGGTTTCCAAAGAACACATATGTGTGGACTGAAAGTTCTTTCAATAACAGCTCTGCCCAACCTGTTACCATCCTTATATTCATGGGACAAATTTTTAAAATGTCACGTGGGAAATATATGAAAAAGGTCAATAAGCATAGGAAAATGGAGGAGAGAAGTATCAGGGAACTTCAAAGCAAAGCTCTTGAACTGTGACATTTCAAAAGCAGTGTCAATGACAAGCACAAAGGAAGTCAGTTTGTTCTCTGAAGCCCCTGAGGCAACTCAAATCCAATCAAGCTACTAGCGGTTGTAGCTAACAAAGTGATCCTTGGCAGATTGGTACCAGACTCCCATTAATGATATTTTGACAAAATGAACCCAGCTTAAAGAACCTTCTTGTCAATAAACAGGTGTCTAGCAAGCTTTGGTTACCCAACCAGTCTTTTTTTTTTTAATCCCAGTACTTATTCCACAAAAAGCTGTCTCACCTCTCTCAGGGGCCCTTTAATGGTGGAAAGTTTGTAGAAGATCCAGAGTGGGATACAGATCATAGAAGAGAGAGCGAGCAGCCAGCCCACAGTGTCTCCCCACCATGGGTAAACATATTTCTTGTTGTATGTCAGTGGGGTGTACTTAATCAGGGAAAACAGGAATGTCGCCTGGGAGGAGAAAGAGCAAAAAACGGAAGGATTAGACAGATGCACTAACTTTTGCTAAATGAGAGCCTGACTACATGGGGGGGGGGATGAGGGAAATACTATGGTTTTGGAACAATCTGATTTACATTTTTTACCAATTGCTCACATGATACAATGGGAAATGTGAATCAGTCTGAAGTCCCACAGCCCCAATCTGTAGCTTTTCCTCCCCACCAGAGATCCTTCACATTTTTAAAAAGCAAATTCTCTTGCTTTGGTACAGAGCATGTTATCACTTCAAACTGATGCAGAAAGGAAAGACCAATTGAGCACACAGACACACATTTTAATTCACATTTCCCTCACTGTGTAGTGACACCTTCTCTGCATCAAAATAGCCTGTTCTGCAAGGTCTGTTCTCTAAGTTTGATATTTATTTCATCCTGTGGAAATATTTTCCCAACATAACTTGACAAATACGTTTTTTTTAAAAAAATCGGTATAATCGGAGACAAACTAAACAAGGCATGGGATATCCATAAGCAGGTTTCCTAACACTTTTATCTCTTTTTTATTTAATGAGTAATATCATCAAGGCTATACACAGGACACAAATCCAACAGGACACAAATCCAGGCGCTGGACCATGAAGCCCCCACAACATCATGCTTCTTTCTTTTATTTCTCTTTTGTTATTTTTAATGTGCCATCAAATCACTTATGATTTATGGTGATTCAATGAGTTAGTGACCTCCAAAATGTCCTATCATCAACAGCTCTGCTCAGCACTTGCAAACACAAGGCCAGGCTTTCCTTTTTTGGAATCATTGCATCTCTTATTTGGTCTTCCTCTCTTCCTCCTGCCTTCAACTTCTCCAAGCATTATTGTCTTCTCCATTGATTCTCATCTTCTCATTATGTACCAAAAGTATGATCTTTTTTTTTTAAAAAAATGATGGCCTAAAATGACTAGGTAGCAAGAAACTGTCCAAAATGCTGTTCTGCTAAGGCAGCTTGCTGAAGCCACCCATGAATGTGCTGGGCTGTAACTTCCTTTGTGCTCAACTGGCTCAACCATTAACAACAACTCTTGCAAAGGCTGGGGGAGAAGACTCTAAGGTTTATTCTCTGACAAGGCAGGCCATAATCTCAATTATGAAAACAGCCTAATTTACTATTCATTTGCCCATCTGTGTTCTTTCCTCTTGAGTCTCCAGACCAAGATAACTCACTTACCAGGCAGACAGCTGGTGTAATGAATAACCAACAGTATTTGATGAGAGGCCATGGGCGATAGCCAATCATGTCTTCAATGTTATCATAGAAGCGGTCCGCACCTGTGAAAGGACACATAAAGGTTACAGAGAGGGAAACTAGCCTGCCAGAACACATGGAGTGAAGGAGGAAAAGACGGTTAGATATTTTAGTTGGGGAAAGAAGCAATATGGTGGGCTACACAGAAACAAGTGAGTAAGTACGTTGCATCAAAGCAAAGCAATGATCAGTCCCGTCTCTTTGCAGCCGGACAGTGCCGGACAGGGTAGAGATGTAATATCAAAGGGTTTTCTCCTCCTTTTCCCTTGCTTACTTGCATCCACCAGCTCACAAAACCTCAGTGTACCAACACAATTTCACCTGTCTCTTGGAAAAAGAGCCTTCCAGAGACTTAAACATGGAGGAAAAGGCCTCTTGAGGGTCAGACCCAGACCAGAGTAGGTCTATAGGCAAATTGTTTGCCTACGGCTATTGCCTGGAAAGATCCCACCATGCCATTCCAATGGTATGGCAGAATCAGCATTAGTGCACCTCCATGCCTGGTTGCCCAGGTGTTGTTTCTAAAGCATTGTTTCAGGGGCCGCAGCTGGATCTTACCAGCATATTGCATGTTTTCTGCCTAGTTGTACTTACCATATACCCAGCCAATGCAAAGAGTCTCAAAAATGGCGACAAAGAGCAGGCACATCCCACTAGCAGCATAGTAGTCAAATAACTGGAACACATACATCCCACCCTGAAAAGAAGAGCACAAATAATGTAGAAAGGGAAGCAAAGAGGAAGGAATGCAAGGCAGAAATCAAAGAGTTGCAGTTAATATATAAATACTGTACAGTATGTGCTGTCTGACAATTTCTAAGCGCATTAAGTCCTCTCAAGTAGGTCTGATTTGAAATATAATATAAACCTCTTGTTTTAGAAGCTTCTTCTCCAGACATCAGTTCAGGACTTTACCATATAATTCCCACTTGTTAACATTTCAGGGCTATATCTTTCTACCTGCAAGACTGTAGATGTACAAAAAAGCAACCAGCACCTCATTAATGAGCAATGATTTGCCTCTGAAACTTACATTATTTTTCTTACTTAGCTGTAAATTGGTAATAGGATTTTGACCACTTTCAGAATAACAGAAACATGCACACTTTTCAAATAAATAATTTCTCAATACTTCCCAAGAAATTAATCCGTATTGGAATGGTGGCTGCAAGTCGAAAAGTCTGTAAGTGGAATCTCCATTGACCTACAATGCACTGTACAGTTTTCAAATAAATAATTTTCAATACTTCCCAAGAATTTTAGATACAAACTAACCTTCCCTTCATTTTCACTTTCTCAGTTGCCTGTGCTTGCCTACAGTGATATCATTGTCTAGCTAAATGTGATCATCATCTTAATTGGCTTTCTCACACTGCAGCCATCCCATTTACAACATGTTCCCTGATTGGTTCGAATTACTACCAAAGAGGAAATAGTCATAGGACATAAGGGGAAAGACATTAAGCAGGATTGGAAGAGATTGTTATTTTTACAAATGTGATTGAAATAACTATCTTTTCGGGGGGGATCGAAACGGGTGTATTTAGTGCAGTTGCTTGCCTACAGTGATATCATTGTCTAAATGTGATCATCATCTTAATTGGCTTTCTCACACTGCAGCCATCCCATTTACAACATGTTCCCTGATTGGTTCGAATTACTACCAAAGAGGAAATAGTCATAGGACATAAGGGGAAAGACATTAAGCAGGATTGGAAGAGATTGTTATTTTTACAAATGTGATTGAAATAACTATCTTTTCGGGGGGGATCGAAACGGGTGTATTTAGTGCAGCCCTAATCTTCCCCAACTTGATGTAACAAAAAGGTTAAGATGAACAAGATGCACAACCTACCGTGTTTCCCTGAAAATAAGACAGGGTCTTATATTCATTTTTGCTCCAAAAAAACGCATTAGGGCTTATTTTCGGGGAAGTTTTATTTTTTCCATGTACAACAATCTACATTTATTCAAATACAGTCATCTTCTGGTTGCTGCACAATGCTGCACAATGGTGGAGGGGGGTTTCACATAACTGGGGCTTATTTTGGGAGTAGGGCTTATATTACAAGCGTCATGAAAAATCATACTAGAGCTTATTTCCAGGTTAGGTCTTATTTTTGGGGAAACAGGGTAGAAACTACTCTGATTATATGTAATCCTTCATTATTTCAAAATAATCTTTATGGCACCATATGTATAGTTACAACCAATCCACTTCTTTTAAACTCAGGCACAACCATATACGTATATAATCTTAAGAGGTACTCTTTTTCAGTTGTGTGTTTGCTTTTTTAAAAAACTACTGTTGTTGATGTTTAACAATTCAAACAATAAAATTCTAAATGGTTGTTGAAAAGTTTTGTACATTAGAGATAATAAATTATTTTTAAGCAGTTATGCAAGATCAGGTGCATCTTCTCCAAACACATTGTTTAGAATCATGAAATCATGAGGTCAGGAGGGGTCTATAAGGCCACCAAATCCAACCCACTGCTCAGTGCAATCTTTAAAGAAGACTTACACTCCAAGAAAACTCTTCAAAGAAGAGTTACCTGAGGTTCTCCAGTTACTGCCGGATTGCCAGTCCCTTGGTGACAGCAGGACTGGAGTCAGCATTAAGGGCCCCACGTGGCTACTCCAGTCTCCTGGGGATGCCAGGAAGACAGCATGTAGGATCCCCTGCTGGCTTCCGATTGGCCAGTGGGAAAGGTTTTCTCTCTCTGCTAGCTTTCATTGGCTGGTAGTTTTTTTAAATGAGTGGGGGCAACAGGCTTCAATCCAGTCTGACATAAAGGAGTGGGGAGACAGCACCAGCCAGTTTTCATCTTGCCAAACAAAACACGTGGGGAGCACTGCCTTACTTTAAAGGAAATAGTCTGTTTAAATGATATTTAGTGCTTTGTTTACCGGTCTCTCATGGAAGTACTAGGTACAGGCTGGGTTCACTTGGTTCTGAGTGGGTTTCTAGGACCAATGTGGCCCCTGAGGCTGTAAACTGCCCAGGGATGGTTTAGGTATATCTATCTTCCACTCCATATTTCCACTTCATATTTGTAGTTGGTTTTTCCCCCTTCCTGACTGTCAGAAAGCATTACTCTTTATACACGTTTAAAGGAAAGAATGCTGTTGCTTCTATTTCTACCTCCATTTCCCTCCTCACAACCATCATAATTTGAAAAAATGATGTGTTGTCAAATGAAGGGTACTGCACCACTTAAAGAGGTCATGAATAACAAGTGGTGCATGTGTTGGATTGAGTGTCCTATGTGGATAAATTATTGTAAAACTCCACACACACCCAGGACCCTCCCTTAAAATATGCTACAGCGCGACAAGAAGGCCAGGGTTGCAGACTTGTCTCTGGAATGCAATCTTAGCAATGTTCTCTTTTCAGCCTCTTATTATTACAAGAGGGGGGAAAGGGATGGTTAAGTTATAGTCTGGGAATGTGGGGGAGATCTATATTTAAGTCTTCTTGTGGATGGTAACTAAGAATGTAAGGTATCCAAGAGGAGTACATCTACACAAAATATTTTATGTCTCTGTAGCAAGTCGGAAAAGAATAAGGCCCGCCTGATTGATGCCAATACACTTAGTGGTGTCTGATCACAAATGTCCTGCATTTCCATCCACAGAACAAAAAGGTAGTTCCAGGGCATAATCAATATCTGGGCTGCATCATTCCGTTGCGTGGATTCGATCTTACGACTGCCGGATCTTCTGACCCTGCAGCACAGGCTTCTGCGGTTTAGCCCACAGCGCCACCACGTCCCTTTTAAACCTGCTACATTTCCAAAATCAACATGTGGACAGAGCCTATCATTTCACTAAACAAAAGCAAAGCTAATTTGCCTCTTCTGAAAGCTATTAAAAGATAATCCTACCTACTTTACTGTATCAAACAGCTCCACTTCTGGTAGCAAAGATGCTCATTTCTTTGTTTTTGCAATTAGTGATGTGAAAGCCTTCAATCTAGTTTTCATGGCATTTCAAAGAATCCCACTGGAATTTTCAACCTGTCCCTCCTCCATATTGTACTGGGGGGAGGGGTTTCCTTTCACAGACATTTGCGTGCATTTTTATGTTAAATATTTTTCAGAATGTGAATGTTTCTAATATATCTATATTGCCATACGCAAAGGTGTGCTTCTGCACATCTTCAATTATAGATATATTAAATTCTGCACATTTTTCAAATGTATTCATGGGTTTGTATACATACTTTCTTCAACAAAATGCATTACAAGGGTTGGAAATACGTATACAGATTGCCAAGGGAAGATGTGCTTTATTCCACTACCATTCCTGTCAAGTTCAAAATGGATATTTTCATATCAAAATGTAAACCTGCTGAATTGCTCTTCCATCTGTGATTGCAACTGAATTCTACATTTTAAGTGTCTTATGAAGAATGAAGAAAGGGAATATGAGTTATTTCCTTGAAGTCCATATCCATACCTCTGTGATCATGACTAGTCCCACAATGTAGGAGATGATAGAGATCAGAAGAATTAGAATTTCTCTCCGGTTCTTTTTCCGAAAAATGCCAGGGTACATGTCAACTAGGGCAGTCACCAGGCTCTCCACACAGACAAACTAAGGAGACAAGAATTGAGGCATTTATGGGTACTTTCATACTATAGGAACAGATCCCTTTTTTAACCCATTGAGCCATTCACAAGGGACCGAATACAATGTCACAATGTCAAATATTCTCTTGAATGCTCTTGGCAAATGTGGCTATAGACAGATAATAATAGGCTTCTTTCCCCAAAGGGATCAGTGCTTAATGTGTCCATTCAAGCCACTTTGTCCTCTGGTAACCCACATCTTTGCATCTTTTTTTAAAAAGCAGCAAAACCCATATGGTTCTCACATCTTTGCATCTTTTTGTATGCTTTTAAAAAGCAGCAAAACCCATATGGTTCACAACCAATTGTGGGGTGACAGAGAGTTACACATGTCGTATCCCTCCCAATGTTCCTCCACAATTGATAAGCTGGACATCACAAGGCTCAAAACCTAATTATATAGAATCACTCGAACGCAAACATGAAGCTGCTGCTTGCCATCCATGTTAAAGAGACTGTTTTCTATTTGCCAGATAAAGCAGTTTAGCGGTGGTCTGAACATCCCCATTCAACACATCTTTACCTGGCTGTCCAATCCCAGCAGAACCACCATGACGAAGAAGAAGCACGCCCATAAAGGGGAAAATGGGAGCATGACGACAGCTCGTGGGTATGCTATAAACGCCAAGCCAGGCCCTGTAGAGAAAGAAGTTACCAACTTGAATGTGCCTGAATAAAGGACTTTGTGGAGATGCACTGTTGATATCTGGTGGGGCTTGGAAGCAATGCCAGTGAGAAAGGCCTAATTCTCACTGAAGTGTTGGACATGTGCCATGGCTGTTTCCAATGTCTACATTTGGTGGGCACTAGGCTGAAGAAGACTCAATGCCTGGAATGCTTCCCTTCCTGGAAAAGTCATATCACATTTTTTTAGGTGTACAGGTGAAACATTTCCTGTGCATGTCTACAGCTTCTAAGCCATGAACCTGCCATTATTGATCTAGATAATATGCAAGCGCTGCAGACATGACCATCTTCACATTGCTGATGATAGTTTGAGTGATTTCGTATAAGATTCATCTGGCAGCTCTCAGTGAACTGACAGCTGAGAAGCCTCATTATATAGAGGCAGGTTAACACAGGAAGAGGTGGGGGGAGCACTTTCAATTTTGCTGTGCTGCCATTTTCCATATATTGTAGGGCAGGAAGTCCAACCTCTTTCTTTGCCTTTGCTCGCTCCTCCTGCTATGTTGCACAGAGACGGGAAAGTTGCAGACATAACCAGTCCATGAATTCACATCTTGCTACATATAGCAGGCTGTGCCAATTGTTCTAGCTGAGCAGATTGAGATTGACCACGTATTTCTTTCACAAACCACAGTATGCATTGAAATCTTGATTTGTTGTTATGTGTGGACCCTACTGTAGTCCCTGCCAACAAACCATGGTTTGTTAAACACCCACAAGGCTGCAGTTAGAATCCATGTTTTCTTGTCCATTTGTGAACTTGTTCAAACTGGATTCTGTAGTCATGTTCAAATCCACAACCTACTGTTCATGCTGGTTAGGGTCTTCTGGGCTTTGCAATCCCCAAAAAGTAATTTTTCCCATCTCGACACTCAATGAATTGTTATGGGGCAAAAAAAAAAGCAACCTCTTTCCTTGCCTTTGTATGTGACGCCTGTAGCCTGTGTTTCCTTTTCATGCCAGATGTGGCTACATACACAGGTATATGTGGGGAAGATATAGATATTTTTAAGTGCTGGTTGGAGAAGATCAGCTTAACTGTACATTGCACACTGTACCCCTGCAATGTGGTGCTGTGGTGAAAGTACTGTATTGGGCCCTGCCAAATCCAGGTTTTAGTCCCCACTAGACCATGAAACCCACTGGGTAACCTTGTGCCAGTCATATATTCTCACTATGACTTCCTTAAAGGGTTGTTTGGAGAATAAAGCAGAGAGGAGGAGAGCCATGTGTGCTGTCTTGAGCTCACTGGTGGAAATCTGGTGTGTTGTTGTTACGTCTACATTGGCTTGGGCATGTCGTGAGAAAGGCTGATGGTCGGATTCTAAAATATCTCCTGTATGGAGAATTAGTGCAGGGAAGCCGCCCCCCGAGGGAGACCACAGCTGTGTTACAAGGACATCTGCAAGCGGGATCTGAAGGCCTTAGGAAGGGACCTCAACACATGGGAAGCCATGTGCGTTCAGCATGGAGGCAGGCAGTGAATCACGGCCTCTCCCAATTTGAAGAGACCCTTGTTCAGCAGGCCGAGACAAAGAGGCAGTCCTGAAACCAGGAAAATCAGGGAGCTGGACAGGGGACAGATTGCATTAGTCTTCAGTGTGGAAGGGATTGTCACTCTTGAATTGGCCTTCTCAGCCACACTAGACGCTGTTCCAAGTCCTCCATACAGAGCGCGTTACCACAGTCTTTCGAGACTGAAGGATGCCTAACAGATTACTGTTTGCCAGATACAGAATACTCAGATGTGGCTCATCATTCCCTCCTTCCTAGGCCATTCTGGGACTGTGCAACTTGTCCAAGGCCTCACAGTCTGGCTCTACTCACAGGAGACACAGTGGGGAATCAAACTGCTAACCTCTGACCTTCAGTCAGATACCTAAGCCATTTAATTAACCAATAAATATTTAAAAAGTGGGACAGGAGATTATCTATGACCCTACTTAGCATAAGAAGAAAATTATATAGACAGACAGTGCTATGATGATCATGATCCCAATCTACTATTTTTCTGCATGCTCAAAATAAATACTATGTGCACAGACTACTCACCAGATTCAGCCACCTCAGAAATAGGCACTCCCTGTTCTTGTGCCATAAAGCCCAGGATGGAAAAGATTGCAAAACCAGCTACAAAACTGGTGCCGCTGTTCAAAAAACATAGAGCAATACAATCCCTAGGAAAAAGAAATGAACACTAGTGCAGAGGACTAAGCATTGATATCACCAGCAAACAAACGAACAAACAAAAAAGCTTTTGTCTTTTTATGCAAAGACAAAAACATTCTTGCTAGAGTCTTTTTGCATGAAGGCAGTTTATGTCAGCTCTGTTGCCTGTTTTCTGGGCTGTCTGTTGTACACATGGTCTTCCCCTGGCTGTGACCAGTTGCATGACTTGTATGACTGGCAGTCTAGAAGGTAGGAAACCTGCTTGTGCAGCGGTCTTTATACATGTGATTCTTCACAGTAGGGTTTGTCCTCTAGTTGTACACATTCCCCTGGCTGTGATCAGTTGCATGACTTGTTGTATGACTGGCAGTCTAGGAGGCAGGAAACCTGCTTGTGCAGCGGTCTTTATACATGTGATTCTTCACAGTAGGGTTTGTCCTCTAGGGCTATAGCTAATTTAACTGCATATATTTTAAAGAATCAATTAAATCTGCACATATGCATATACTGTACAAATAATGGTTCAAAGTAGCAGGTACTCTTCCTTTTTCTTGGAAGAAAATGTATCTGGAAAGAAGCCATGGGGATGAAATAGAAATTCATCTTTAACAGTGCCTGCCAGTTATGGATTTTTTAAGAGAATTACAGTTCAAGCTATGTGATTTTTTAAAAAAAACCCTGCTACCCAAATAAAGAGGGCCACATTTTTAAATCAAAAGACTATGAATTAACTGATTCAACATTGCAGCCCGAATGTATACCAACACTGATTGTAAGGCTAAATTATCTAATAATTCCAGGGTCATCTATATTTACTATGACATCCCCTGCAAAGGTAATTTGAAGCTTTCTGCTTGCAATGTCCCCTTTCATTATTCCCACTGAATATGGCAGTAGGATATGGCATGGAGTTTAAAATGGCGTTCCCTAGTCAAGCTGGCCACGTGACAATGGAAACTGTCTTCGGACAGGCGCTGGCTCTATGGCTTGAAAAGCAGGATGAGCGCCGCCCCCTAGAGTCGGACATGACTGGACTAAAAAATGTCAAGAGGAACTTTTACCTTTACCTTTTTAAAGGTACAGTGGACCCTCTACTAAAGGAATTAATCCGTATTGGAATAGTGGCTGCAGGTTGAAATTTCTGTAGGTCGAGTCTCCATTGACCTACAATGCACTGAAAACCAATTAATGCCGTAACCGGTCATTTTTGTTCCATTTTGGGTTTTTTCTGGTCTGTAAGTCGATTCTCCGGCTGCAAGTTGAACCTAAATTTTGCAGCCAGAGAAGTCTGTAACTCAAAAAGTCTGTAAGTTGAGCCATCTGTAAGTCGAGGGTCCACTGTAAAGGTTCCTCTTGACATTTTTAGTCCAGTCGTGTCTGACTCTAGGGGGTGGGGCTCATCCCATTTTTCAAGCCGTAGAGCCAGTGCTTGTCCGAAGACAGTTTCCGTTGCCACGTGGCCAGCATGACCAGGGAACGCTGTTTTACCTTTCCACGGAGATGGTACCTATTTATCTACTCGCATTTACATGCTTTCGAACTGATAGGTTGACAAGGAGCTGGGACAAAGTGATGGGAGCTCACTCCATTGTGTGGATTCAATCTTACGACTGCTGGTTTTCTGACCCTGCAGCACAGGCTTCTGCGGTGCAGCCCACAGCACCACCATGTCCCATGGCATGGAGTTTACTTATAGTCTATTAAGTGCAATGTAATTACTCAGTTCCTATTCCCTACAAAGAAGGGTGGGGCTTTAACAACTGAATATGAACCATTCTTTTCTCTTTTCATTTTTAGTTAATGAAATATCCACTTCGCCCATTGAGTGAAGAGTGTGACTAATTGGGATGCAGTGAATGCATGTTTCATTTTGTTGCCATGCTTAACAAGAAGTGACAAAAGCAGAAGCTGCAAACAGAAAGCCAGCAATTAAAGGCACATTAGCCTTTAGAAATCTCAACAGCATTTCCTATTTTACATTTTAATTTCCGAAATGGGTGCAAGAAAGGTCTATAAACAGACAGAACAGAATTGAAAATACTGAAATTGACATGGCAACATTCGATATTCTCTCTGTAAAAGGGATGAAGCAAAACAGAAAAAAATCCATACTAAATACTTTGGAAGTAACAATACCTCAGAATATAAGCTCAGTTTCATTGTATATATTATATATTATAGTGGAATTTGACAAGAGGATGTCATTTCTGGAGTTCAGAGCTTCTTGTAAAATGTGATTTGCCTTTACAGTAAAGAAACAAGAAAATAAGTGATACACTCATTCTGCAGGAAGAGGATTTGGGAACTTCATGGCATGTGGAAGCAACAGATATGAAAAAAAGTTACTTTTTGAGACTAAAAGACCCAGAATGCCATGCTGGCTCAGATATTCTGGAGTTATAAGCCAAAAGAAGGTAACTTTCCCTATGTCAGAAACAGAATAGCGATTCTTCAACCTGGTTTGCTATTCTTGCTACATAGAAGGAAGAGTAAAACACTTTCAAAGGAGCAGGTGAAGAGGTGGACTCTTGAATTCTAAAGATACACTTCAGTTACCTGTAACAATTGTTATGATACTTGTTATAGCTGCCCAAAGCTGTCAGGCATCCCAGGCAAATAGCGTATGAGAAGAAGATTTGAGTGCCTGCATCCATCCATACCTACAGGCAAGACCAAAAGAAAAAGAAAAAGAAAAAAAAGATGATTGAAAGTATATTTGTCAGGGCCTTTCTAGTACCTCTTGAAGGATATGCTGACTGTCCCCATAATGGCTGTTTAGAGATAGGTGGAATGTTGCCTCCAGAAAGCTTGCTATATGAAATTAGGACAGGTATTTGTCCCATAGTTTGGTGCACTGCAGAGGAAGAGTGGTTTACTCTTTTTTCCGGTGACCACATGATTTAATTGTTAAACTGGTTGCCCCAGAGCACCCCAACCTACACCATGCTGAGCCCCTTTCAGGGGCTTCTACATTTTTGGTGCAGGTAGAGTCGCTCTAGTTTAGACCATTCTCAGTACATGTGATTGCTGGGAATGGACTAAAATTGAGCTGCCAAGGCTCTTTCCGGTTTCAATTTCTGGTATCATGAAATGACTTAATAAGCAAGACACTTCAGATTATCAGCAAATTGAACACCTCCTCATCTCCTCTGCAGAGGGGAAGGGAGAGTGGTTTATTTACTCTGCTAGACCATCACTGTTGCACCTAATCATTTAGATTAAATTTTTAAAAATTATTTGCCTTTGTGTGAAGTACTTCGAGAAGCCAAAGCTGTGAGTAGTTTCTTGATGGCCACAACCACAAGGCAAAGGGGGGGAAATCAAATCTAAATGATTGAGTGCATCAGCAATGGTCTAGCAGAGTCAAATAATAATAATTTCACTTTCCCTGTGCTTTGCAAAGGAGCAGGGGAAGTTTTCAATTGATAACAGAAGGAGCTAAAGGGTCGCTTGAGGTTGATATGCTATTTGGACTCAAGGATCACCCTAAATGGAATATCACTCCTCCCCCTGACTCAAGCAACCCTATTTAGACCACACCGGCCAGCACCAAAAGGGCTAATGCAGTCACACCTACAAGGCTTACATGTGAGTAAATCCACTCAGTGGGAACATCACAGTTTGTGATTTCAAAAGGCAAGTAAAGAGACTTGTGATCTAGAAAATCTAGTTCACATGACGAAAATCCATCCTTTCTCACTGGTTGTCCCCTTAATAATGCAATTGTCCCTTTTAAGTACATTAAGTATTTACATTTACTGCCTGTAGTGTCTGGGAGGACTTATGAATGTAAACCAAATAAACCAGTGACAAGAACAGCAGTTATTTGTTTGTCAGGAAGGATTCACACCTGTTGTATTAAGCAAGAGCTACATGTGAGTAAATCTCCCTAGATTGCCATTGGAAAAATGTTACTAAATGTTATGGATTAATTTTTACTACTCAAACTGTAATAGTAACAAGTAATTTTTAAAGGAACCTTTTCAAAGAAGAAAAAAGGTCCAAACTGAAAAAACAGAAACAAAGACCTTAGAAGAATATAAGCAAATATTCAGAAATAGATCAGTGTTTCGCTTTTACACTCTAAATTAGTAATACAAAACGAAAAATGTACATTTGAAAAGTTTATTTCAAAAATATTAAAGTCATTATATAAGACATAAACTGGGCATGTTTTCAATCAACTATATTTAAAAGTCAAGTCATATTGTATGTTTTAATATTATTATATATTAATCTCTATCAGAAGTATTCACCCTAAATGTCTTTCCACAGATTTCCATATGAGAGGGAAAGATACACATCCAGCTGGTTTCTGTTGGTGTGAGTAACAAATGCGTACTGTTACAAAAGAAGTCTGTACTGAATATATGGCCATAGCTGTGCCTGCATCGGTTTTGTTAGTTTCACCACTAAAAATCACCTACAACCCTTCTGTCTACATTTCTCTTTGTTCTTTATCAGTTTTCCCATTAGTAGCTCTGTTCTGTTTGTCTGTAGAGTCCACCCCACCCCATTCGACCAGTGGCAGAGACTTGAAACACAAATCTACATTCTTCTACACCCGTCATCATTCTACTGATTCCGCCAAACATTCGCCCACCTTTTAAGGCTGGCTTGGGAGGGGTTTTAAAGGGTTACCAAGGGTTGCGCTGACCTATTTTTCCCCCAGGCAGGCCCCCTTTTAATCTCCTTTGGAGACACCTTCTCTTTCACACAAAAGGTTGTTACAGGAGCTCAGCTGGAACCAGGATTTGACATGGAAGAGCTTGTCCTGAAGAGATTAAAAATGGCATTTGGTCAAAGGACCTTCAGTAAGGCAAAGGGGAAAGAGTATGTGACCAAGGCAGAAAGGAGAGAGAACCAGCATAGGGTGTTTACACACACACACACACACGCACACGCACACACGCACGCACACACATACTAACACACAAACAATCTCCCCACATCATTTGCCTACAAGCATTGGAAACTGTCATTCATTTGTGCCAAAACTTGGAAGAGGTGTTCACATCATTTCCCTACAAGCATTGGAAACTGTCACTCATTTGTGCCAAAACTTGGAAGAGGTGTTGTTGTTGTTGTTGTTGTTGTTGTTGTTGTTTTACCATTGCTCTCAGAATGACCCAGCTAGTGTGGGAGGCAGCAAATGTCTGTTTCCAATGTTCCACTTAGTGAAAAAGTATTCAGGTGCCCTCTTTTCCATCATTTGACACAAAATGCTAGGCAGTCGGTAGCCACGCTGGGTGCAATGTTCCGGGAGATGTAGCTCAAAAAAGTAACTTTCCTATGTTCTGATTTTTGTGCATGAAAAGTGTAAGGGAAGCTAAAAGCAGCATTTTGGAAATTTTTTGTTGTTACCTGGTGTCAAGTCTCCTCCGATTTATGGTGACCCTGTCAATGAATGATCTCCACTATGTCCTGCTGTCAATTGCCCTGTTTGACTCTTATAAATGCAAGCTTGTGGCTTTCTTAAGGAAGTCAATCCATATCAGATTTGGTCTTCCCCTTTTTCTGCTGCCCTGGAGGCCCACTCTTATGTCTGCTGTAAATTACAGCAGTTAGTCTTGAAGGTGCCACAACGTTTTTGTATTGTTCTTTTTTAACTTTTATTTTGTTTTTAACTAATATGCTAGCACAAACTAAGATGGCTGGTTACCTCTTCTAAAACTACTACATATTTTATAAGTCAAACATCTCTCTTGCTATCCCTAGTACTATCATGCTTGTTGGATCCTTACCTCTGAGCTGCATTGTCTATTCACTTTTCTCTCACACCTCCATTTGCGTGCTATCACACTTTGAGGTCTAAATGTGCTATTTTCTGGTGCCTAAGTCATTCTGGCATGTAAGACTGAAAAAACCCCTGGAGGCCAAGAGGGCCTCTTCTTGGGATTAAAAGAAACTATAAAAACTAATTGAATAACAATTTGTTGCCTGAGAACTAAAGGTAAGGCTAGCCATAGAGCATAGCACTCTGCACATGCCCTTAAGCCCCCTTTCCCTTATTATGACCACTACTGAAGAGTCCACTCTTTCACTGAAAACAGGTTCTGTGGCTATACAACTGGCACCAGGATCCGGCGAAACAAAAAGTGCAAGAAGTAACACATCCTGAAGATTACAGCAAATGTAGGGTTGGCAGAAAGCAAAGCAAAGCAAAGACGTATAGAGTGGACAGCTCTCTATTTTGTTTCTGCAAAACACCAGTAAGACATTACAAGCTTGAGGAGGAGGAGAATGGCACGAGATCAAGGAGGATTTGAGGGGTGATCAAAGAAAAGAGGACATGCCTTTTTAACTTTGAGGGCTGACCAGGACATTGTAAGACAGCCTTGCCATGAAGCACAGTTTGAGGCTACTCCAAGGCGGCCATCACGGAAGAACACAGCACCTCCTGGCCTTTTTGACAGAGCTTGGTTCACAGCGATGGTCTGCATGTTTCTTTTTTTAAAAGCAAGTATGTTGGTGTGTTTCTAAGACTGCCTGAGCCATTAGCACCACTTTTAAACTCTGTGAAAAGCCCTTCCCTGTTTCCTATATGGTTCCAGGCCTGGCTCTGCCATTAGGCAGAACGTGACAACAGCCTCATGCAAGCTGAGAGGCGACCATGGCAGCTGTTCCTCTTGAGCCATCTGGCCATACCCTTTTTACTGGAGAGCAGAGTTCTCTCTGACTTCACACTGCATCACATAGCTTGTTCTGCAACTACTAAATTGGGTTGCTGCCCTCTGGGGTCGTGGACAATCATTTTCAACTGCCCATGCTCAATTCAGATTTCGCTGCAGTCCAATTCATTTCTGTCTCTTCTCCACTCTATCACGCAATAGGACTTTTGGGGCCAATCTTGCAAGCTGCCGTTGTTTACTCTGCAATGCCCCTTTCCCACCATGATTTAAAGGCAAAGAAGGACTTGAAAGCAGCAGAAGAAAGAGAAATGAAACATGAATTGGAGTGGGCAGTGAAGGAGAAAGGCAAACAAAAGTGATTTTTCCCTTTTAACTTACCTGGGGATCACTGAGCCGAGTGATGTCTGGGTAAAGGTAAAAGAGGATCCCTTTAGATGCCCCAGGCAGTGTGACTCCCCTGATCAGCAGAACTACCAGCATGAGGTACGGGAACGTGGCAGTGAAGTACACCACCTACCAAAAGAGCAAAACAGAAGGAACCATATGAAAAACTGTCAAATTACCCATGCAGAAAAGCAGGCCTTTTAATAAACCTATGCTAAAGTCAGATGATGGTTTGAATGCCACATCTGGAGATATGAGACAGAGTAAAGGGATTGTGGGATGTGGTGGTGCTGCGGGTTAAACTGCAGAAGCCTCTGTGCTGCAAGGTCAGAAGACCATCAGTCGTAACATTGAATCCATGTGATGGAGTGAGCTCCCGTCGCTTCTCCCAGCTCCTGCCAACCTAGCTGTTCGAAAGCATGCAAAAATGCAAGTAGATAAATAGGTACCAACTCAGTGGTAAGGTAACAGCGTTCTGTGTCTAGTCGTGCTGGCCACGTGACCATGGAAACTGTCTACGGACAAATGCTGGCTCTATGGCTTGGAGATGGGGATGTGCACCGCGCCCTAGAGTCGCACACGACTGGACTAAATGTCAAGGGGAACCTTTAACCTAAAGGGATTCAGTTTGTCTCGGGGCTCACAAGGATGGCTACTCTGTCATGGCAATACTAATATTTCGTTTCTTCAGACCTTATGTTAAAGGATGGCATGGGCCATCAGTCATTTCTACCCTTTTTGCTGTTGATTCTTACGAGCCTGATTGAGCTATTGAGCAAATAGTGGAAGTGAAAGCTAAGAAGATGAACCAAGACTCAGAGTTTGGACTACAGCTCCCAGAACGCCCCAGTTTCCATGACTATTGGCCATGCAGGGTGAAGTGTTCTGGAAGTAGCTGTCCAGAAAAGTAACTATTCCAAACTTTGCAGAGAATACATAAGGAAACAAACATCTATTGGGCAGATACAGTATAATGTTAAAGGCCCACACCTGGCTGGATAGCTCAGTGGGATGAAGGCTCTGAGTACAGAGCAAGAACTTGGGATGGTCAGTTCCCCATTGTGCCTTCCAGGATAAGATCCAGCGTGTGTACTTTTAAGCAAGCTGCACAATTCCAGAGCACCTCCAGAAAAAGAAAACAATAAACCACTTTTAAATTCTCTCTACCTAGAAAGTCCTAGCAAGGATCATCCTAAGAAAGAATTGACAGCACACAATTATTTACTGGCATTAGGTGCCCCACATGGAGTAAATACCACAGTGATGCAATGTCCTTTCTTATGCTTGCATTTATTTCAAGAGGATATTGGAAATACTACAATAATTATGTTGTGATCTGCCATTATTTTCCATAACCCAGGCTCCTTCTCAGCTGCCACAGCCGCCATTACAGAAAAAGCTTCAAAGGTAAAGTCAGAGAGTCATTACCATATGTTGTTTTTGCTGTTGTTTTCTGTAACCTGGTGTTCTTCTAGGTAAAGGTTCCCCTTGACATTTAGCCCAGTCGTGTCCGACTCTAGGGCATGATGCTCATCCCTGTCTCCAAGCTCTAGAGCCAGCGTTTGTCTGAAGACAATCTTCCGTGGTCACATGGCCAGTGCAACTAGACACGGAACACCGTTACCTTCCCACCGAGGTGGTAGCTACTTATATACTTGCATTTGCATGCTTTCAAACTGCTAGGTTGGCAGGAGCTGGCACAAGCGACGAGCGCTCACTCTGTCGCGTGGATTCAATCTTACGACTGCTGGTCTTCTGACCTTGCAGCACAGAGGCTTCTGCGGTTTAGCCTGCAGCGCCACCACTTTTAGCCACTAATTATTGTTGCTCTTTGTGGAACAAAGCTTCAAAGAAAAGAACTTAATATCAAACAGAGGTCTAAAGTCAGTACAAAATATGAAATGCCTCAATGACTCACAGAATTTGCAGCTCGTCCCTACTAACCTACCATTATCTCTTTATCTTAGAGCTGTGTTTAGAGATGAGCGCGCCAATTCAATGGTTCATCCTTTGGACAAACAGGTGTTTGGCAGTTTCCAGCCCCACCTCCTCTGATGGGCCCCCTCTCAGAGGCAGCGCCCAGGCTTCCTTCCTCCGCCTCCTCTGAGTACTGCCTTTGAGTGGGCACCTGCCAGATTCACATTAAAATATAGCAGTTAGTCTTTAAGATGCCACAGCATCTCTCTCTCTCTCTCTGCTTTTGTTTAGTTTAGTTTGTTTTTTATATGCTTGCACAGTCTAACACGGCTACTACTTGGAAATATAACACACTATTAAATAACTACTTATTATTTTTTATGTATTTTTCTTTAAATATTTAGAAACAGAGAGGGTGCTTAATCTAACTTCCAGTACGGAGCCTTGATCATTTAAAAACAGCCTCGTGGCGCAGTGGTTAAAACGCTGTACTGCAGCTAAAACTGTGCTCACGACCTGGGGTTCAAATCCCAGGTAGCCGGCTCAAGGTTGACTCAGCCTTCCATCCTTCCGAAGTCGGTAAAATGAGTACCCAGCTTGCTGGGGGGGGGCAATGTGTAGCCTGTATAATTAAAATTGTAAACCCCCTGGACAGTGCTTGTAGCGCTATGGGGTGGTATAGAAGTCCAATAAATAAATAATAAATAAAAATAATACTTGAATATTTGACACCTCAGAAACTCTGGCAAGGCTCACCATAAGTCAGAATCAATATGACTGCACATTTCAAAAAGTTATAGCTCTTTCAGCTACTAGACCCTTTGTGTGTTGTTTAAATGACAAACTCTTGGGAGAAAAAAGCAAACTGGATTCTGTTCTTTGGAGACTTTATGGATCACTTCTCCAATCCTCTCCTGCAGTGTGCCTTGCTGATGTACAGAACTTATATCCATCTATCTGGAAGTCAGTGTGGTATAGTGCGTATGATATCAGACTAGGGCTTAGGAAACCTGGGTTCTAATCATCACACACTCGCGGAAATTCACTGGTGAGTGGCAACTCTCAACCATCTATTGAACATCTCACATAAATCTAAAATCCTATTTGGGTTACAGTAAGTTGGAAATGACTTGACAGCACATAACATTGAACATCTCACATAAATCTAAAATTCTATTTGGGTTACAGTAAATTGGAAATGACTTGACAGCACATAACAACATTATTTTCTTACCTGCCTGCCTGAAATATCTAATCATGGGATATATTTGGGTTATTGTTTGTATTTTGTTGTGTTTTTTAAAATGCCAATCCTTGGAACTTTTCTATTTGTGTTTGTCAAATTAATATACATGTTAACCCAGTAGGACCCAGGAAAGTGGTACACCAGTGGTGTCACTTTTCAGACCCTTTTTTTCACTGCATTCCTATTTATCTTATCTTAGACCTATCCTCTCATTTACCCAATCTAGCCAGGAGGGGCGACTGAGGAGCCTAACGCCGAGAGAGGCCCAGAAAGAAAAAACAAGACACCGGGCCTTCTTGGCAGTGGCTCCCAGGCTCTGGAACACGCTCCCCCCCTCCCGAGATTTGTCTGGCCCCCTCGCTGGGCATTTTCAAAAACCACCTCAAGACCTGGTTATATAAACACTGGGCACTACGTAACTTTCTCTATCATTATCTACTCTATTTTGTGTAAATGTTGGAAATTGTTATTTCATATTAATTGTTTTTATTCTGCGTTTTGTGAGCCGCCCAGAGTAGACTATGTCTAAATGGGCGGCATAGAAGCTCAATAAATAAATAAATAAATAAATTTATTACAGGAGCATTCTTTTTGCAATATGTAAGCCATATATTCCACTTCATTTCCTCTTTAGAGGAGCACAAACTATTAGACATTTTTAAAATGCCCCATTTTAATTGATATCTACATTAAGCCACTGCGAGACATTGTCCAGAGTTTTGGCCCCTCTTTTCAGGCACACAGGCTGCCTGAGTGGAGTTTTTAAATGGATTGTTGTACCTTACTGCATTGAATGTGTTTTGGTATTGCTTAGTTTGGGTTTTTTGGTATTGAATATTGATACTTATTTATTTATTTATTTTATATCCTGCCTATCTGGTCTTGCGACCACTCTAGGTGGCATTCATTGATCCTTTTAGTATTGTGTACTCATTGTTACTAACCATAAGTACTATATTTTAATTGTTGTAAGCGGACTCAGGTCCTTTTTAAGGAGAAAGGGAGGTTAAAAATCTTTAAAATAGATAAATAGATTAAATAAATTAAGAATACAGTAGTATTTTTCATATCAGTTCTTTTTGTCTTTGAGCTAATACTCCTTGAAAAGTGGTTTTCAAAGTTTCTTCTGCGCCCGCATCACTCTCCTTCCACATGGGCTTGACTGCAACACTTCTGCATTTTGCTGCACTACTTCAGGGACCTGTTTTGTGGCACCCACATCACTCAGAGTGCCTTATCCGCTGTCACCATTTCCCCCGTGCAAATGAAGAGCAAGCTCAAGAACTCAACCATTCCACAATGGCATTAGCTGCGCATTTCATGGGAAGATAGCTAAGCATCCTTCAGAGAAGTTGGTGAGCAGATTGACAGGTATACTTAAAGCATTGATATGTCACCCAGTAACAAAATTCTGTAAGCAGCTTAAACTTAAACATGGAAATACGAAGAAAAATCATGAAACCAGTATCAAACACAATATAAAACCCTTAGCAACAAATCGCCAAAGCTTCAGAATTTCTGGCTGCATATTTTCATTCAATGCTTTTCCATCTTGAGGTTATCAAAGAGCAAGGAAAAATTAAAAGAATACCTCTGTTGAAAGAGTACATGTCAACAAGGGGCTCTAAAACAAGAAAACTTAGACTATTTATTTCTTGCCCTCTTTGGCTTTGGAGAGGATCCAAATGGAAATTTCCTTCCAATTTGTTTCTGGATTGAAAGCATAGAATTGGCATAGAGCTCACAGGTCACTTAAGTTCAAAGGCTTGCTGTGTTAAGTATCCGGCTGCCGAGCCAGAGGTTCAGAGTTCAAATCTCCATTGTGCCTCCTGGGAGAAGTGCCAGCCTATGTGGCCTTGAGAAAGCTGCTCAGTCCCAGGGCAGCCTCAGAAGTAGAGAATGGCAAAACATTTCTGAGTGCTCTCTACCGAGAAAACCCCAACAAGGCTCTCTATAACTCAGAACT